TCATGTGTAAGGCATGTTGAGGTACAATTTGTTGGACTGAACGGATGGCTTGCGACATGTGAAACCCACCTTTTTTTTACAGACAATTCTTCACTGTTGTGACCTTCCATTTATGTTGCCATGCTTCCATTCACTCAGGAGCCCCGGCAGAGGAGAATAAAACTGCGAAAGGAGGTCGCCCCGTTGTCCCACACACACATTGTCATGCCATGTCCCGATATGAAATGGGTTTGTTTCATGCTTAACCATCTTGAACATACACATTACATCGCATTACATCACCAGGTCATGATCTCATTGATGTCTCATCGCACAATCTTTTATGTCAGTTATGATATTTCATTTTGGTTCGTTTCATGCCAGTTTTTCCAAATACATCCCAGTGCTCTTACATTTTGCCCCAGAGATCGCAGAGGTAGAACTTTGGAGGGTCATCTACAAAAACTGGCATTATATAAAAGCTCATAAAGGATCATAACATATCATAACAGTATATAGACAGAATTGCCCCCAGAAGAAAACCTGCGATTGCTATGCTTCCTGCTGTTGTTCTGCAGGCGGAATAGAGAAGAAGGGCAAAAAGGCCGAAGAATCGACTGAATCGACAGGACTCCCGTAGTTTTGACCCAGGGTTTGAGGCCATTTGTTTTGTTTTGTAAGCTGTTGATAGCTGTTGTAGCAATGACCAGTTACTGGTTTGGAAAAAGATCCTTTACCTTAATGGTGGACACATGATATGATATGATTATGTATATACATGTTTTGATTAAATAGTTATATGCCCAAATTTAGCTGACTGTGTTTTCTTCTAAAACAGTAACTACCAATAAAGCAAAGTCTTGATACTTGTTCTTGACCATTTAAGTGATCAAACATGTTTAAACATGCACAGTCCCCACTGTTGTGGTAACCACAAGATGTACACAAGATTGCATCAAATCTTGGGTTGTTTGGCTCCCACCATAAACCATATGTATATATTGAAGCCTAATTACATGCACATGTGTACAAATATAAATTCTTTAATATAAACACATACATGTCATATCATCTCATTACATGTCCAATCGTTTCCAAACATCAAAAACATGTTCAACAAACATGAAGACATGCAGATGTCTATATGTCCATTCTCACCCTTTCTTGTATTTATATAATGCCTTGATATGAAGATGGCTGGTATTTCTATTCTTCTTTTCCTTGTAATCCATTTTAAAGACCAAAACCCAGATAAGTTTAAGATATCTATGCGATCATATGCGGCCACCAGGATATTTATGAAATGCATTTGCCTGGGATTCATTGGTATTTACCCCTCAATTTCCAGGAAGGGCATTTTATAGGTATATTGATGAGAACTAAGTGGATTTGGTGAAGACACATATATTGATATTTGATGATATTTGATGATATTTGATGATATTTGATGATATTTGCATCATTAATTTATCATAATTTATCATAATTTATCATAGGAAGATTGGCAGATCGTGTTTCTGAATGTTATGATATGTTATTATCTTTGTTGTTTGTGCCTATTTCGGTCACCCCCGTTTTGTGCTTATAAACTCTACACCCACCATCTCATATAATCCCATTGTGTCTTTCTAATGTGGCTGCCCTCCCCCCCAGTGTTTTCTTTATCTTTCTCGGTATTTATAAAATGCATTTGCTGGTTGATTTCCAGGTATTTCCGAAATTCCCAACATTCAAAGAAAAGAAGCATTTTATAGAACCAAAGTTGGGAGTTTTTGTTAGATTGTTGCCCATCTATGCGACCATATGCGACCACCAGGACATTTATGAAATGCATTTGCCTGGGATTCATTGGTATTTCCTTCTCAGTTTCCAGGAAGGGCATTTTATAGTTGGATAAACAGAATGCTCTTGACCAAATATATTTTGAAAAAGTATGTTAAATTTCATTGCAAGACCTTGAAAGTGAACCACTGAATGTTTTAAAACTGATTGTGGGCATAACTTATTTATAGAAATTTCATGTTTCAACGTCTTTTGAAAAACATATTTTGATCAAAACTATTTTGAAAAAATGTTAAAATTCCATTGCAATACCTTGAACATGAACCACTGAATGTTTTAAAAGTGATTGTGGGCATAACTTATGGATAGATATTACTTTCTTTAAAATATCGAACGGTTGAAAACACATACATAATTTTACAATTTCAATATTTTTCAAAGACAATTTTTTTCATGTTTACTGACCATAAGAGTGACATTTCTCATTTTATATCATTTCCCCATTTTGGTTCTCCCATTGAGTTGTTCCCCCTTGTTGTTTTCCCCTTGTACCTCCCCATTTTGGGGTCCAAGTCCTCGAGCCCGGTAGCATCGTGATTGGTATTTATAAAATGCCTTTGCTGGTTGATTACTAGGTATTTTCCAACATTCAAAGAAAAGAAGCATTTTATAGAACCAAAGTTGGGAGTTTTTGTTAGATTGTTGCCCATCTATGCGACCATATGCGACCACCAGGACATTTATGAAATGCATTTGCCTGGGATTCATTGGTATTTCCTTCTCAGTTTCCAGGAATGGCATTTTATAGTTGGATAAACAGAATGCTCTTGACCAAATATATTTTGAAAAAGTATGTTAAAATTCCATTGCAAGACCTTGAAAGTGAATCACTGAATGTTTTAAAACTAATTGTTGTGGACATAACTTTTGGATAGGAACCACATGTTTCAACGTCTTTTGACAAACATATTTCGACCAATTTTTTTTGGAAAAAAAATGTTATAATTTCATTGCAAGACCTGAATGTTTTAAAACTGATTGTGGGCATAACTTATTTATAGAAATCTCATGTTTCAACGTCTTTTGAAAAACATATTTTGATCAAAACTATTTTGAAAAAATGTTAAAATTCCATTGCAATACCTTGAACATGAACCACTGAATGTTTTAAAAGTGATTGTGGGCATAACTTATGGATAGATATTACTTTCTTTAAAATATCGAACGGTTGAAAACGCATACATAATTTTACAATTTCAATATTTTTCAAAGACATTTTTTTTCATGTTTACCGACCATAAGAGTGACATTTCTCATTTTATATCATTTCCCCATTTTGGTTCTCCCATTGAGTTGTTCCCCCTTGTTGTTTTCCCCTTGTACCTCCCCATTTTGGGGTCCAAGTCCTCGAGCCCGGTAGCATCGTGATTGGTATTTATAAAATGCCTTTGCTGGTTGATTACTAGGTATTTTCCAACATTCAAAGAAAAGAAGCATTTTATAGAACCAAAGTTGGGAGTTTTTGTTAGATTGTTGCCCATCTATGCGACCATATGCGACCACCAGGACATTTATAAAATGCCTTTGCTGGTTGATTACTAGGTATTTTCCAACATTCAAAGAAAAGAAGCATTTTATAGAACCAAAGTTGGGAGTTTTTGTTAGATTGTTGCCCATCTATGCGACCATATGCGACCACCAGGACATTTATAAAATGCCTTTGCTGGTTGATTACTAGGTATTTTCCAACATTCAAAGAAAAGAAGCATTTTATAGAACCAAAGTTGGGAGTTTTTGTTAGATTGTTGCCCATCTATGCGACCATATGCGACCACCAGGACATTTATAAAATGCCTTTGCTGGTTGATTACTAGGTATTTTCCAACATTCAAAGAAAAGAAGCATTTTATAGAACCAAAGTTGGGAGTTTTTGTTAGATTGTTGCCCATCTATGCGACCATATGCGACCACCAGGACATTTATGAAATGCATTTACCTGGGATTCATTGGTATTTCCTTCTCAGTTTTCAGGAAGGGCATTTTATAGTTGGATAAAAAGGATGCTCTTGACCAAATATATTTTGAAGTGAACCACTGAATGTTTTAAAATTGATTGTGGGCATAACTTATGGATATATAGAGATGTTTTTTGAAAAAAAAACGTGAAACATATCGAACTATTACACACATATCCGCAATTTTGAATTTTTGATATGTTACACAAGCAGCTCTCTCCTATTTGCCCACCATAAATGTGACATTTCCCATTTTCCGGTTGTTTTCTTCCCATTGTATTCTGCCCATTGTGTCTCCCCATTGCGTCCCTCCTTTGTGAGCTGTAACAGGAAGCTGCAATAAGGTTGACAATTCTGAACCTGCAGGACCTGTCATGGAGAAAAAAATACCCTGATTGGTATTTATAAAATGCCTTTGCTGGTTGATTACTAGGTATTTTCCAACATTCAAAGAAACGAAACATTTTATAGAACCAAAGTTGGGAGTTTTTGTTAGATTGTTTCCCATCTATGCGACCGTATGCGACCACCAGGATATTTATGAAATGCATTTGCCTGGGATTCATTGGTATTTCCCCCTCAGTTTCCAGGAAGGGCATTTTATAGTTAGATAATGTTAGATAGATAGAATGCATTTGTCACAGCGAATAAAGGCTGTCCGGGTAAAATCATGCTATGCCCCCAAGTTTTGCCGACATTTTGTGGTTTTTCATGTTGTTTCGATGTTTTTTCTTCTTTCTTCTGGCACTGCAGATGCAAAAGGAGCCATAAAGGGAAATGCAAAGCAGCCAAAACTGCAAACCACAAGTTCAGAAACAGGAGAGATGAATTCAAGATGTTGATTCCAAACTTAGCATGGCTCCAGTTTGTTTACAAGATATTGCAGTTGCTAGGTTGCTATGCTTGGATTTTCTCCAAGGGTCAGTCTAGATACTTTGTAAATGACTATGCGCATGGTCTCTCTTTGGTGTTTTCCTGGCCGATAGGACCTGAAAGCAGCAAACCACAGGAATCTTTGCAAGAACTTTCACAAGGACCTGCGCCGGATTCTTTGGAGCGGCATGAGGAAAGCCATGTTTCCATCACAGGTCTTTGGGTTTACTCAGTGTTTTTGGTTCTTTCCCAATATGTTTGGGCAATTTTGGCATCAATCTCAGCATTTTGGCTTGTGAGAACACCCTCACTTCCATTTTCACGTCCCATAGGTCCTAGCCCTGCATCCTCATGGCGGCTGAGCAAAGCTGCATGCATACTGGTGAGCGGCCAGCCCTCTTCAGGTCCAATGCCTCAGATTTTGAGGAGCAAGACAGTGCATCTGAGTCGGCGCACAGCCATGAATCCACAACTGTGTCAGCCGGAGATGCCAGATCTGCAATTGATTGTGGCCAACCGAAAATCTACAACTACCACTCGGACCGTTTCTATTTCCAGAGCATTCAGCATCATCACCACACCCATTGGATTGATGAGATCAATGTGGAGGAGAATCATGTGCATATCCATGTCCACCACCATCATCACCATGGCAACTCCAGGAAGAGGAGCAAGGACAGCAGTTGCAATGAGAAAGTGTCCCAATCCAGTCAGGATGAGCATGAGCAAGGTGGCTGCAACAAGATGCAGCGGATTTCTCAGGACACCTAGATCAGGCACATGTTGCATCATGCAACTCAATGGGACATGCAAAGAGTGCCGCCAGCTGAAGAGCAGCCTTTTTTTGTAAGATTCATTAAGATTCATTTGTATTGTAGTGGTTCCTAGTGCTGTTTCTGCACCGGTAAGATTTCAATCCTTCTACTGTTTCACATGTTTCCTCGTGTGAAAGTTGCGATAATTGCGGCCCATGATTGTCCCAATTCTCTAGTGATAGGATGCCAAGCTGTACAGACAATGTTTACAACCGAGGGCCCTATAGATCTTCATTGTCCACGTCATAGCTGGCTGTACTCTGCCGTATTGCAGATGGGATGAAAAGGAGCGGATGCATTGCCACATGGCTTTGTAGTTACAAAATGGGTGGCTGTAGCACTCCGATTTCCCTCTTACCAGTTTTTGGGTAAGTCATCCATTTTGTAAAGATTATTCAACATTCTATCATGTTCTGAAGGCTATCCTGCTTCTTCAGGATTTGGATCTTTTTGTGACCGTTACCGTGACTGCCAGGATCTGGAACCATCAAGAAGGCGTCAAAGGTTGAAGCCAGTTTTGAAGGTCTGGGGTGGTTCATTCTGAGCAGGGCACCTTGGCTTTGTAGTCTTAAAATGGATTGATAGAGCATGATAGTTTCCCACCCCAGAGGCTTCAGGAGTGATACCATTTTGTTTTTTATATAACAGCAGGCTGGCTTGAGAATGTCTCGGGGTGCGACAGGATCAGGATTTCTTGCGATGTTGTTTTTAGGGCCCCACCCCTTCTAGAGCATTAGAGTGTTGCACCTTCCAGGATGTGGTTGCCCAGAAAGTTTAACGCATTTTTCCCCAACAGCATTGTTTGCCAGGACCTGAGACGACCAAGACGGACAAGTTGAATGGAGCCTCCACAGACTTAGAAGGTGCGGGCCCCTGTCATTCATGTCAACTGCCTTACAGTTACAAAATGGGTTGATATAGCAAAATAGTTCTCCATCCTCCCTGTTTCTGGACTGGGTCTATACTGGAAAAAATAATCTGACATAATGAAACAATATTAATATGAACACGCGTTAAGACATGTTAAACCTATTAAATATGCGTCAATGTGTTCTTGGGGTCCTATCCTGTGCTTGAAGATATATTAGTATTGGAACTTCTCCCAAAGTCACACAAGACATTACCCATGGGAAAGCAGGTGCTGTCATCATCTGTTGTCTGTTGTCGTATGAAATCCATCAATATCCTATGTTATCAGTTCATGTACATTTTTTGGTTTTTATGATTTGATATAAACTGATTTTACTTGCTGTTCATGTGACAGGTTGCTGGAGCAAGTGCATTTTGTAAACGTGCGTCGCCTGTCCTTGTTGGAAGGACCTGACAAGACGGGGATGGAAAAACAGGATGAACCTGCCCAAGCTCAAGAAGGTACTCTTTTGGGGCCTACACGTTGTCATTGCACTGATTTTCACATATTTTCACTGGCTGCAGCTTTTGAAGGATGTTGGCATGAATGTCCTGGAATGTTTATGATCATCAAGAACACCACCAGAATGGAAACATCAACCTTGGGGGATTTGCCAAGGCCATTTTGTAGAAGGGCAACCGTGCACGAACTGCAGGCGAGACGGCTCTTCATGAAAAGCCTGCAGAAGGACAGTCAGCCGGAGTTTCTTCTGATGCAGTGGAGCTGGAAGCATGCATGGACATGTTTGAAGCTTTGAAGGATCTAATTCATTGCAGTTTGTGGGTCTTACAATTTGCAGAATCAGTGAGGCTGCAGCATTTGGCTGAAGCAGACCGCAAGAGGTAGAGTGGAAGGGATTCTTTTCTTCCAACTTCCGGCACCGATCATGGGCAGCCAAGACTGGACCGTTCTTGACAGTAGCCAAGAGTTCAAAGGAGATGGTGCTTCCAGTGTTTCAGAATCTGGGGTGTCATGTGAGGGCCCTAGTGTCATTTTCAACTCATTCAAAGATCACGTCTACTTTCACAATGTCAAGCACCATGAGCACAAGATCTACCGCAAGACTTCCGATGTGAAGAGGGCCCGTGTTCATGTGCATGTGCACCATCACCATCACCACCACCTTGATGATGATTGTTCAGACGATGAAGGAAACCAGTGCTTGGAGAAGATGCAGTCTGCAGCTGAAAAGTTGGCAGAAGGTGTTGTGAGTGATTCCGGGGTGTCGGGAGGGTCTCCTCCAGCAGCGGTTGAGCAAGGAAACGAGGCATAACGCCTTGTGGAAAACATCTAGATGTGACTGTGTGCCTGGGTACATAGATATGTGGACTATGGGAAACATCCTTTGTTTTGAGATCCGTCGTACTGCAACTATTTTTTTGACATTGTTTGGTTGATTGCTGTTGTTCCGCCATGTTGTTTAGGTGTTTTGAGCTGGTGGATGGTCCCATCGGAGTCCCATCAATCCTCTTTCCTCTACAGGTAGCTAGACTGCTGGGCCTTTCCAAAGGGCAATGTTGGGCTTGATTTGAGGGTAAGTAAGCTTCCTTCATTGTCTGCATCATGGCCTGACCATACGAGATAGGAAAAAAGTATTTCTGCCGAGTTGCCTGCTGAGCTGATATTCTGTTGTATTTCATCTCGGTATGTTACAGTGAACTTACCAAAATTTACAAAATGCAAAACCCAGCCAACACTGGCAAAATCTTTGCTTGTGCAACTGGCCCCATGCATTTTGTAGTCCCTACATGTCCCTGCACCATGCCTTTCTGTCAGGAGCTACAGTGGCAACATCTCTACAGCAAACAGGACAAGCATATGGGTTTGGGCTATGGGGCCAGCTTTCTCTAGTCACCATGTGCGACATGGCATCATCAACTTGGTACATGAATGGTACGGTATGATTCATACTCATATGATCAAATATGTATGAATTGATTGGTTTTGCCTTTGCTTCCGTCAGGAGTTGAGGGGGCAACACCTTCGGATTCCAGAGGACACGTGACACGAGCTTTTTTTTTTCGCGGCGTTTCCGAGAGTAAACATGCGCACCATGAAAGGAAAATAAAAAAGAATTGCCAAATGCCAAACATGCCATCCCTTTGCCACGTCGGGAGGAGTTGAGGGAACACCTCATGAGCCGAGAGGACATGCCAAAACCAAAACACCCAAAAACACCCAAAAAGGAACCCCCCCCCCCCCAGGGGGGGGGGGGGTTCCTTTTTGGCATTTTTCCTTTGGGGAGGAGATTCTTTGGGGGGCAGCAGCCCAGCGGAAAAATTGCTAATCAATGATCAATGTCGGTTCGCATTTCAGTGCCTTCTTGGTTCTTTGTATAATGGACCACAGCGGCATTCAAAGGTTGAGTTGGGTGGCCATGTGCTGGTCAATGCATTTTATAAACATCCTGTTGCACTGACGCCTTGCCAGGAGTTGCTGGGGAACAAACTCCAGAGCAGCCAGAGCAAAGAGGACACACCCTGTTTATCATTGGATTGGTGAGTCAGTTATGGTTGTCTATGTCTGTCTACGTTGTCATTCTGAATTGCATTCTTTATGCGTTCATGCACAAACAGTTTTAAGAAATTGAGTTTTGCCCCCCACCTTTGAGCCCCCAAGGGGAGCAAACAAGTGTGAGGAGATGAAGAGGCAACCGTTCCACAGGCAGGTTCCACAGCACGAGGACACATGTGCCACAACATTTGGGCAGTCTAGTCAGTTGTGTTTGGCCAGCAGCCCTGATGCTTCAGTCTTTGATCCAAGTGTCTTTGTGTCCAATGAACACTTGGTCCTGTGCTTTTTGAAGGAGAAACCAATGTGGCAGAAGAGCTTCAAAGCCTGACCCCCATTAAAAAGAGCAGGCCAAAGAATCATACGGAGAGGTTATTCTTGGATTTGGATGCTGCTATGGTGCGTGGTGATTGGATTATGCAGAGATCAGAAATGCCCTGCCCTCGAAGTCCATTTTCGACTCCAAAACGGAAAGGGAATAGCACCTGGAAGGCAAATTAATTTACTGTAGTTTGTAGGATACGGCTCCCCTAGTAGCACTGGTGCTTCAACATGTTCTACAAACATCATTGCTCTCCAAGGTATGATGAGGACAGGTTGCGAGCCAGACGCAGGTGCGAGTCATCATATCATGCTGCACCTTACTGCATTCAGATTCTGTATGGTTCTTTCTTCTTATTACATGCCTTCACCCCCAGCAGGACATTCTGGACGTATCTGGAAATCAGATGAAATCATTAGTATTTATAGAATGCTGTGACATCAAAACCAAATTCAGTAAAGACTTTGAGATCATGGCATACCATTTTGTAAAGGCTTCTGGCGCAAAAAGTCTGCAACATTCTGCAACCAAAACCGTGATAAATGATGATAAATTTATGATTGAACCAATGACATGCAGGGCTTTTGATGTGACCCAGCAGCTTTGTTGAATGTAGATGTTTTTTTCCTGTCAGGAGGAGATGTGGCTGATGCTTCCGGACCAGGACACTCCTATGATGGGTCACATGACGTCAACACGATTTTATCTCTTGTTTCTAGCTGTGTGTCTTGGGCATGGCAGCTTGTTAATACTATCAAGTTTCTCCATTGGGCCCCAGAGCTTGGTGAGAGTTTTGCATGTTGCAACATGTTGAAATATGATGAAATATGTGAGACCATGTTGAAACACAATGCAAAAAAAAATCATGAATCACCAGAAATTCACATTGGTCAGCTATCAAAACACCCAAGATGGTGCATCCATTCCTTTTGGCCCTCTAACAACATTTAACCCATAGCTACAGCTCTGCCCGCTTTTTGCTAGGACATGATGATGCTGCTCCTTCACAGCCACCAGGACATTCCGGGCGTATCTGGAATTCAGAGTTTTCATGAGTTTTCATGAGTTTGCTACCCTGAACATTTGAACACCAAGATTTTGAGATAGTTAGTGATCTTTATAGAATGCCCTGACATCAAATCAGAATTCAATAAAGATCTCGAGCTCATGGCATACCATTTTGTAAATGAGTTTGGCGCAACATCACAACCCAAAGCGTCCAGACATGTAAAATTCAAGGTTCTCCATTGCTCTCCAGAGCATGGTAGGGTAAATCCACGTTGAACCATGTCACGAAAGGTAGCCTAGGCTACCTGAGTTCTATGTACTTTAGTACTAGTTTAGTACTGGGGGAGGTGGCTGCTCCTTTCCCGGAAATTGAAAGCCGAGAGTCACGAACGGAGACTTAGGGGGGGGGGGTGAAGAGGGGCCCTAGCGTCTACTTCAAGATCAGCTAAGGCGTCTTCCCCAATGACAGCACTCTTTTACTCTCAGCCTGTTGCCGGTCAGTGCTTGTCTACAGGGTTACTCTATATACCTCTTTCTTGAGCCTTGAAGGGCGCATATAAATGTGCTCAATACTCATGCATGTACCTATGTAGGTATTAGGTCGAAACAAAAACACAGGCACAAATTCAAAAGCAATGAGTAGAGCACTACGCCTTGCCGTACCCAATTGGTATTAAGAGTATCTTCCTGACTTCTCTACACAATGGCAAATAGCAAAAGAAACCGGAGTTACGCAGTGGCTTCGAATTGAAAAACACGTGAAAGCAGCGAATGTCCTAAGGACATGTCGAAAAAGAACAGCGGATTCGCTAATTTTTCCAGTAGCGACCAATGGTGCTTCGCGCACGGTCTCTCCATAGGCAAAATGCCTCGCTCTACCGGTGAAAGTTCGAATTGAAAAGTTCGGGTTCGCAAGATTCAGAAATTCAGGTCATACGAAAACAATTGACCAAATCACGAAATAAACGGAAATAGCGGATCTCCAAAGTTGCTCATTCAAGCAAACAATGGACTGAAATCGAAGTTGGTAAATTTTTGAAGTTCGCTCCATTCGGAGTGGTCTGCTCGCCGGATGATTCATGGAGATAAATGTATATAGTATCTCTATTTACAAGAGTCTCTATTTTACATTAAATTGAAGTTCAGACACTTGTGGCATTATCTCTATCTAAAAGAGTATATGCCATCTGTGTGAAATAAGTTGAACGCACAGAAAAACTGTACACGGCTTCTCATGCTGTGTTATCTTCAATTAAAGAAGTGTACACTCACTCATCGCCACTCACTTGATCTCCATGGTCTGGACGCTGAAGATGAGGATCCACCCCACTCTGTGTTGCCCTGATACGTCGATGCTTGATCTTCATATGCCTTTCTCTTTTTCTCCTTCTGTCTTTCCTTTCTTGAATCAGCATACTGCTTCTTCTTGTAGGCCTGTTTGTAATGATGTCGTTCATTCCATGACATATCAGAAGGATCAAGATGGATAAGAATTGGATTATGAGCATCGCGATCATTTGGAGCAACCATGAAGATGTTGTGATCACCATGTAAGCAAGTTTCATTTACCTTGAAGTAGAATTCACCCACATAGTTCATGTGATCTTCATCCTCAAAGTCTTCTGGGTGTTCCTCACACATCAAACGTGAATGACCCCACTCAACAACTGTTAACATACAACAATCACCTTTACCATTTGTCTTGTTCATGAGCTCGTCGGTGTATGTTGCTGTTGTAATGCCATCCAAGTGCGTTGCAAGAAAATCCAAGTCACGATAACTGCAAGAAATGAAATGCTTGACCCTGATTGGAGGGCAAGTTGGATCAAAATTCTTGCGCATGGCTTGTGTTGCAACACCTACCATTCTGTTAATCCAGAATTGGATAAGGCTGTGTTGATATGTAGGGACACCTGGAGATTTTGGTGTGCTGTAATAGCATGCCTTGTTTCCATCACCTGCGATGAAGTCAACTTGATATCTGGCACACTCAAAAGCCATAACAGCTAAGCACTCACCAACAATCCCCGCAGAGTCTGATGCATACTTCTGTCCGACGTGATAAACGCACACACGTGTCATTCTCATCCTAGCTCTTGTCAAGTCAACAATCTCATCTGTATCTCGATCCTTTGTCTTTCCCCAAGATACTTCAAAGATTGCCCATGAGACTTGTCGAACTCGTGTGTCGTTGTCATCTGTGTGATATCCAGCAATTTGCTTGATATAGCCATCCTTTCCAAGGCGAGCGGCCACCATCAAGTCATGATAGTCATTGAAGCAAGTTTTGAAGTCAACCTCGTTGAGTCTTTCTCTGTGAGGATACAATGAACCAGCCTCGCAATTCATGAAAAGATGTCCTCCAAAGTTCTTGATGACATTGATGAAGTAATTGTTGAACTGTGATTTGTTTTCATCAAATTTTTCATGGTCCTCATCGATGGCGTAGTCAATGTGTGGAATGAATTGTTGAAATCTTTCTGGAACCGGGCATTTTTCAAATCTGTTTCTGCACCAGTTTCCCAAATTCCAAAACATTGCTGTTATCTGTGGGGAGGATCTGTATGGAAATTCAGCATCCTTGTACGTTGGGTCTGATAGGCCTCCACCTAAATACCTGTAAGCCAAGCTATGCAAGATCATACAGTAAGGCAAGACCTTGTGTTCCTCAACGTAATCTTGGAGTACCTTTGTGAGATTTCCAAAATCGTCATCAATCCTCTGTTCTGCTTCTTTTGAGGATCTTTCTGC